CAGGTGTGTGTGGCAATCAGTGTTTGTGCATGACGTCATGGTTAGAAGTCCGGTGACGGTGACCTCTGCTGGCCAGCGAGGGGAATGACTGGGACAGAGTCGGTGACAACTATACAGGTCAGCTGCATCTTGTTAACCATACTCCTTAGTATTTAAGGGAGTTTAGTTTCCAATTAATATTTAATTTATGTTGAAGTTTATTGTTTGGGTTGTAGCCAAATTATAAAATTTGAGTTTTTTTGAATATTTAATTTGTACCCAGAGAGTTGTCCAAACCTTTCAAGAACAAGAAGCAGACTAGAAAGTGATTCATCTGGATTGGAGAGATACAGTAGCACATCATCCGCATATAGAGCAATTTTATGGTCTACCTTATTAATGTTAATCCCCCAATTGATTTTTCTTCTCTAATTGCCTGGGCTAGAGGTTCAATGTACATGGCAAACATCAGGGGAGAGAGGGGACAACCCTGCCTACTTCCTTTTTTCTAGTTTTATCTTTTTTGAAAGACAATCGTTTATTTTTATCCTAGCCTTTTGGTTTGAATATAAACATTGAAAGCTTCTAACTGTATTTTCTGTAAATCCAAATCTATATTAAACATTAAATAAATATTCCCAATTTACACAGTCTAAAGCTTTCTCTGCATCTAGGCTAACTAAAATTGCTTTAATGTGATCTTTTTTAATTTGTCGTATTGCATGAAGTATCTATGTCTATCAAATCAGGTAAAATGTTTCAAGTCTCTTGGCTAAAATAGAGGCAAATGATTTATAGTCTACATTTAAAACAGACACAGGTCTACATGAACTACAACTACAGTTTTATCCTTCCCTCTTTAGGTATGACTGAGATAATTGCTTCCCTCCAAGAAGGGGGAATTTCTGCCTCTTTAAGTGTCCAATTAAATGATGATATAAGAAGAGGTGAGATCTCTTTTTTTTAATGTTTTGAACCACTCAGAAGGTAGACCATCATTGCCGGGTGTTTTATTATTTTTACGATAATTTATAGCTTTATCTAATTCCTCCTCTGTAATTTCTTTTGTTAGGAGACCCTTACAGAAAAGTCACATGAATTTCACATGTGATCACATGTGACAACATGTGATCACACATGACCACATGTGAAGTTTATAGGTGCGTTCGACTTCATGCAGCGCTGCGCAGATCGATCGAAATCTGTCTTAAAGCGGTGCATTCTGGTTAGAAATCTTGTCCGGATTGATGCTGCGCCGACGCCACGTGACTGTCACATGTGGCATCAAAGTACCGCGACAGCGCTCCGAGATCAGACGGCAAACTCAGACCGTGCAGCTTCTGAAGAGCGACTGCAGGAGCTTTGATGACGACACCGATATTACACGATTGGCCGAGTTCACCACATGACAACAAACACGTGTATTTCGGGTTTATAATTGGACAAATTCGATTCAAAAGTTTCAAAACAAACAATTCACTTTTTACACCCTCTCTATCCTGTACACATCTTGCTTATTAAAAGACTACAAATATTTTACTGCAGTAATCATCTTTTGTTAAATAATCTGGTTATAAAGGTTAGCTTGTTTGCGCAGGTTTATTTTTAACTTTTTTTTATACAGACTATTTACTGCATTCATCTCCATGAACTATTTTATTTAATAATTATAAAATGGTTTTATTATTATAATATAAATATCTATTTTATTTCCTGTCTAGCAGTTTATAGACTACCTGCTCTTTCTAGAAAACTTCTACATAGCTCACTTATTTTACCTTTTGTTCTTTTCAACACAATCTTTTTGGATTAAAATGCTTTTTTGAAAATTCATTCATTATCCAAAATAATGTAATTTATTAAGACCTAATCAAAACACCTTGTTTTGCTTTTTACATTGGAAATTTTTATATCTATAAATGTACATATATGTAAACCCTTTTTTAGCATATTTAAACAAGAAGTATTAGCCTAAAGATTGATGTTTAACTCCTAGAATTTATGCTTATTGCTTTGTATTTAATAGACCTGTTCGTTTTTATGTTTATATTAACCTCTCATTTCCTCTTATTTCTCTCATGCATTTGTTATATATTTTATTCATAATTCTCTCTTATTGTTTAAAAAGGAATTACAGTTTGTAGAAACTGTATTCTGTTTTATTTGTAAATGTTTTGCTGTTATAAATAAAAATAACAAAAAAATATGAAGCTCAGCTGCAGCCGGTGATCAACGAGATTAGCCGAGCGCAGGCGGGGGCGGAATTGAAAACGGAGCCGTCAAGACGGACAGCTGGACACTTGGGGACTCAAAGTTGCTGCAGTCATGATGACCGATCACATGGCGTCATCATATTTTTTTGTTATTTTTATTTATAACAACAAAACATTTACAAATAAAACAGAATACAGTCTCTACAAACTGTAGTTACTTTTTAAACAATAAGAGAGAATTATGAATAAATATATAACAAATGCATGAGAGAAATAAGAGGAAATGAGAGGTTAATATAAACATAAAAACGAACAGGTCTATTAAATACAAAGCAATAAGCATAAATTCTAGGAGTTAAACATCAATCTTTAGGCTAATACTTCTTGTTTGAATCTGCTAAAAAAGGGTTTACATATATGTACATTTATAGATATAAAAATTTCCCATGTAAAAAGCAAAACAAGGTGTTTTGATTAGGTCTTAATAAATGACATTATTTTGGATAATGAATGAATTTTCAAAAAGCATTTTAATCCAAAAAGATTGTGTTGAAAAGAACAAAAGGTAAAATAAGTGAGCGATGTAGAAGTTTCCCAGAAAGAGCAGGTAACCTTTAAACTGCTAGACAGGAAATAAAATATATATTTATATTATAATAATAAAGCCATTTTATAATTATTTAATAAAATAGTTCTTTACTTTAATTTGTCAAGAGAGCTTTAGGGGGGCAGGATCAATGATGATGATTTTCTTATTTTAAGTCTGTAAGACTTATTTGAGTTCATATTTAGGTTATTCACTAAAATATACACTAAAATATATCATTTAAATCGTTCGTGGAGATGAATGCAGTAAATAGTCTGTATAAAAAAGTTAAAAATAAACCTGTGCAAACAAGCTACCCTTTATAACCAGATTATTTAACAAAAGATGATACTGCAGTAAAATATTTGTAGTCTTTTAATAAGCAAGATGTGTGCAGGATAGAGGGTGTGAAAAGTGAATTGTTTGTTTTGAAACTTTTGAATCAGAATTTGTCCAATAATAAACCCGAAATACACGTGTTTGTTGTCATGTGGTGAACTCGGCCAATCGTGTAATATCGGTGTCGTCATCAAAGCTCCTGCAGTCGCTCTTCAGAAGCTGCACGGTCTGAGTTTGCCGTCTGATCTCGGAGCGCTGTCGCGGTACTTTGATGCCACATGTGACAGTCACATGGCGTCGGCGCAGCATCAATCCGGACAAGATTTCTAACCAGAATGCACCGCTTTAAGACAGATTTCGATCGATCTGCGCAGCGCTGCATGAAGTCGAACGCACCTTATGTGACCACATGTGGACAACATGTGAAGTTCATGTGGCCACATGTGAAGTTTATGTGATCACACATGGCCACATGTGAAGTTTATGTGACCACATGTGGACAACATGTGAAGTTCATGTGACCACATGTGAAGTTCGTGTGGCCATATTTGAAGTTCATGTTACCACATGTGAAGTTAGTGACCACATGTGAAGCTCACGATTACATGTGTTCATGTGACCACATGTGAAGTTTATGTGACCACATGTGAAGCTCACGACCACATGTGTTCATGTGACCACATGTGAAGTTTATGTGACCACATGGACAACATGTGGAATTCATGTGGCCACATGTGAGGTTCGTGTGGCCATATTTGAAGTTCATGTTACCACATGTGAAGTTAGTGACCACATGTGAAGCTCACGATTACATGTGTTCATGTGACCACATGTGAAGTTTATGTGACCACATGTGAAGCTCACGACCACATGTGTTCATGTGACCACATGTGAAGTTTATGTGACCACATGTGAAGCTCACGACCACATGTGTTCATGTGACCACATGTGAAGTTTATGTGACCACATGGACAACATGTGAAATTCATGTTCATCACCTTTGACCACATCTGAAGTCAATGTGACCAAATGTGGACAACATGTAAAATTATGCTGTCCACATGTGGACAGCAGGTGATCACATGAACCCACATGTGAAAAACATCATTATCTGAAAACCATATTTCATGATGACCAACACTATACCGTGAATAAGTGCAAAACTGCAGTATAACAGCATTATAAAGGAGGATAAATGAGGTAAAATTATGTGCAACTGCAAAATAATGAACTACAAAATTCTAATAAAATTACATCAACAACAGTACAATTTGCAGTATATTCATGTACAACTTTACTACACTTGTGCATTGTGCTGATATATAATCTAATATCCAATTTCCCAATGCTGTGGCAATGCTGTGCTGTACTTGCTACATTTTTTTGTACTTTTATTCAGGGATGTTTTGGAAACAAGTAACTTAAATAGAATTTGAAGAGTTTATTTGCAATGATAATTTTGTTTTAGTAATTTTTAAATATAAAGTTTTATGTTGTTTCTTGGGTTCAAAAAACATGATTTATAAAAAGTAAAAATGTAATGAGATTTAATATTGTGTACATGAGTACAATGGCAAAAAATAAATGGATTTCTGAATCAGTCTGTAGGGAATTGAGAGTCGACTTCAAAAGAGTCGATTCCTCGACTCTCAATGGACGTAGTGCCGGAGTCGACTCCAAGACAGGATTCGATTCCTAGAGTCGAGTCTTTTTTTTTTACCCTTTTAAATGAAGCAGTTACAAGCTACAGTAACTTATACTACTCTTTCTCGAGCACGAAGAAGACAGAAGGCGCTCACTTTTAATGCGTACTCACACATTTTGCGATTTTGCTTTTGAATTATGCGACCACGAGGCACTCTTACGCAACTGGGGTAAACTTGCGCGCGCGTTCATCACAGAAGAGCATTCGCGGCAACGCGCGCGTTGTCCTGACAACAAGGATTCACAAACAAACGCAGTTTCTTAACGGTCGTTTAGCAATCTTTTGTCCGTTTTGTCTCCTTATTTCGGTCGCGAAATGAAGATAAAATACGTGTTTGTTGATATATTAACTGTAAATGCCATTCACATATGAACACTAACGTAACACAGTTAAAATAAAAAGTCACGGTCAAAGGACAAAAGAGAGGGCTACGTTTTTTGGAGAAGCTGGACCATTTTGACCTTATCATCTTCAGCGGTATAATTCAGCGGTAAGTGCATATTCATATACTGTCCTCACAACTTTATAATTTAGGATGTGTAGAGAAACTTAACGTAACCTTAACAGTTGGTACAACAACAAAAAAAGAGAATATGTTCAGAATATTTGACCAAGCCAGTGATACCAGTCAAACGCGCGCCAAAAGATATCCGAGCTCATTCACTTGCTTAAAACACTGCAAATGTTGTAATTGATGCAACTGTATTAGTGATGTATTAATTTGTATTAATCCAGAATTCTCTTTTAACACATTAACTAAAATTTAATTGAATAGGGTTTTATAAACCTGATCTAAATGACTATTGTGCTTGGTTTTAAATTGAAATGTCCTAAATGTAAATAATGGAATAGATACAATAATAGATATTAAGGTAAGCTGAAGCTACTTGTTTATTTTATGTATTTCATTTCAAAAGTACTTAATAACAGTTCTGTAGATCTGTCATTATTTTAAAGGCTTGTCCATCCTTTCCAGAAACATTGGTTTATATTTTGTTTAACTTATCTTTTTATTGAGATACACTAGCATTTAAAAGTTTTAGATGGTAAGATTATTTAAACAATATTGAAAGACGTGTGGCTGCATGTACTTTCTTTAAAATACACTAAAACCAATTTTTAAAATTGATTTATAATATGTTTCACAATGTAAAGTTAATTTCTAATTTATTGTAAAACTTTATTTATCCCTGTGATACAAAACTTTAATTCAATCTTCATTATTGCATGTTAACTTAATCTTACTTTTTATGAAGATTATAGCATACAAGATTAATATGTGTAAGATGTTAATGAACATAGATATGATATCATTTTTAGTTTTGTCTGACTCTCTTTCTTTTTCTTTCTCTCTCTCTCTCTCTCTCTCTCTCTCTCTCTCTCTTTCTCTCTCTCTATTTGTATTAATGAAGTTTTAAGATTAGATATTATAGACTAATATTGGTGTTACAAAAATCTGTCACAGTGGTTAATTTTTTCTCTTTGCTTTTTGTACAGAAATCAATGATGTGCAGGGGTTTAAAAAGTACAGCTTGGGAAATATAAAGATGATGGTTATTTTAAAGAAGAAGCCTGACACATTGGAGACTTAACCATCTTCAAAGGACAATGCTACAATTCAAGGAAGTCGACAGTTGTCTCAATTATACAGTTTTGCCTTTTTTTTGTACCATAGTCTAAGTTTGTATTTTGATTGCCTAGAAGGTATTTCTTATTAAAGAAAAAAAATAAATAAATATATATATATATATATATATATATATATATATATATATATATATATATATATATATATATATATATATATATATTAAAGCAAAATCTTTTACTAGCCACTAGTTGTACCTTCTTAGTCTACAGATTCCTTATAGGTACTTTGTTTTATAGCAGTTAACAGTCTGTGACTGCAGGGTGATTCAAAAAGAATAACACAACTTTGAAAATCTGTATTTAATCAAAGAAACATGATGACAACAGCTCTCCTAGCGACCTAATAAGTAACCAAATGAAACTTCAGAGCTTCCTTAAATCGACGACAGAAAGAGCTTAGCTCCCCTTCTTTGCAGAGTTTTCGATTTTCAAATTTGTGGGATTCCTTTTGAATCACCCTGTATACAGTTTTTTCTGTTTTTAACATCTGATGTTTCCTGATAGGTAATCGTTTACATCACTTTGGGAGAGGGAGTGAAAACGGGCAGTCAATCAGTGTCTGAAAAGAGAAAATACACCCAATACAGAGGCTAGTAAGGAGCACTTCCAGTGCACAAAGTTAATGTCTTAACAGGTAACTTTTATAGCGTTTGCTATCTCTAATGCGTAGAGATGGCAAATGTACATGCATACTTTACTCAAGTAGAAGTACAGATACTCTGGTAAAAGTTGAACTACGGACTAGACTTTTCTACTCAAGTAAAAGTAAATAAGTACAGCCTGAAATATGTACTTAAGTAAAAAGTATTCATTACTAATATCTGTTTTAGTTTCATGGTGGTAACTACACCTCAAAAAATGCATACATTTATACAAAATTACTTACATTTAAAAAAAATTTTTTTGTAAAAAAAGTTGTTGCCAATTTTTAGCTGCAAAGTAGCCAAGCAACATCATCCTACAGGGCTTGAAATTGCGACTGTTTTGGTCGCATATGCGCCCAAAGTTTTATCTTTGCGACCTCAAAATGTATTTGGCAGCATTTATGCGAGTGCATAAAATTGTTGTTTTCACAGAAAAATGTTCACCACATGCGCGGAATTATGAGGCATTCACGCAAGCATCTTTACACCTAAAAACACCAAACGCAGCACTAAAGAATAGTTTATAACAGTTAACACGTCAACTTGCTGCACTAAGCAAAGCCCGCGTCTTTAAGCTTTTTTTATTGGCCCATTGCGCTAGAACAGAATGCGAATGGATTGGTTAATATCAGCTGTCAATCACTCAGTTCCGATGACAGGGAGCTACAGCTGCAAAAATGCAAAGGTCTGGATAAGAGAGAATGAAAACAACACTGATAGATTTAGTTTTAGAAACCATCTACAGTTACAAATCATGGCACATCTGATTAGTCATTATGTGGAGAATGTCAATCCAGCATTTACACTTTTCGAAGAGTGGATAAAAGACATCTAGTGCTCAAAGTCCGCTATGAAAATGATTATAGCATTCACTGTAAAACTGGTGGGATGGAGTTTTTAGGTAACAGTGTTTGCCACTTAATCTACACATTTTAAGCACGAGATGTTCTAACGTGAAGTTTACTTGTTCTCCCTGTATTCGTGTGGGTTTCCTTCGGGTGCTCCGTTTTCCCCCACAGTCCAAAGACATGCAGTATAGGTGAATTGGGCAGGCTAAATTGTCCGTAGTGTATACGTGTGATTGGGTGTGTATGAATGTTTTCCAGAGATGGGTTGCAGCTGGAAGGGCATCTGCTGCGTAAAACAGATGCTGGATAAGTTGGCGACTCCGAATTAAAAAAGGGACTAAGCCGGAAAAAAATGAATGAATGTTCAACCGTTATTTAATCCTTTATTTAATCATCACAATGCTGTTAATCGTGCGACTGATACCGCAGTCACCATCGCTAAAGAGCATGCATTCACTGAGATGAAACTAATATTGCAGTTCATGAAAAGACTGTTATATATTAGGGTGACGTATGCAAATAATAAGTTATATGTCAATAGCATCTGTGCAGTATCAGACACCACCCATAAGAACAGAATTTTTTCTTTTGATAAAATAAAAAAACTAAATGTATTTGACTACATATTTTTTGCATTATACTAAAGCTACGTCTGCTCCACAAAGCACATTAAAGCGAAAGTAACGAGCCTGATTTAAAAATGTAAGGAGTAGATTTGTATTCAAATGTAAGAAGTAAAAGAAAAATATTTCAGAAAACGTTAACAGTGGAGTATAATACTGACACTAGACATATCTACTTAAGTAAAGTAACAAAGTTTGTACTTCATTACTACCTATTTCTGCTAATGTTAAAAAATGTGATCTAAATACTATGAATTCATTTTGCATTCACATGTATGCATTTGAGCATTTGGTAGTTTCTTTTATTAAAAATAAGTTTTGTATTTTTTTCTTACAGATTACAAGATCAAGTCATTAACATGAACCAAAAGGACAAACTCGTCAAAAGCAAAACTCACTTTCCCTTGGCTTTTCTTTCCCTTTTCATCACGGGTCATCACAGCAGAATGAACTAGCAATTACTGTGGTACATGCTTTTTTCACCAGATGCTCTCATATGCAGAATTGACCAGAGCACCCGAAGGAAACCCACACAAACATGGGGTGAACATGCAAACTCCACACCTGGCACACCTGAGACTCGAACCAGTGACCTTCTTGCTTTGAGGCAACAGTGATGACCACGGAGCTACCATGTGGCCCCTTTTGTATTCACATTATATTAGTGACAGTTTTCCCCTCAAGGTATTTCAGTAAATAATTGTTGTGATTTTATATAATTGACAATAAATTGTTTGTATTTATATTTAAGTTTGAGAATAATTTTTGTTCACACTAATGCACAAATTTTATGGTGTGAAGTACACAAGAGAAAAGCCACAAGAGATTTTTACATGGGAACGCATGTTTCAATGCTCACCATCAAAATTCTAAATACAAACATTTTCCCATGTGATCACTTGTGAATGCACATGTAGTTCACATGTGAATTCACACAAAAACATTAAAATTCACAGGTTTTCCCATGTGATCACATGTGGTTCACATGAAAATTCACACGAAATCGTTACAAATACACACGTTTTCCCATGTGATCACATGTGAATTC